CTCCACACTCTCCACCACCATGCGTACCATCTCTGGCTCCAGTCTATCAGGAGCACCCCCAGCCCCAGGGGCTGCCAAACCTCCAGCCCCTGTTCCCTCAGGGACTCCTCCCCCTGCAGGTGGGGAAAAGGGGGGCGAACCAGCCTCCTCTTCTCCTCCCGCCCCGACATCAGACTCTGGGGTGCTCCGGCCTGGCCAAATTCGGGCATCTCCTGCCCCAGGTCCCCCAGGCACTGGTGACAGCTTCTCTCCAAGTTCAAGGGGACTCTTGGGGCTAAAACTTCGAGCACTGCCAGCCTTTTCCCCTGGGCTGCCATGACCGTTGCTCATGCTCCCTTTCCGGGTGCCCGCAGTCTCAGAGATCTTGAAAAGCGGAATGCTGGAGACGGGCACAGCAGGCACTGGCTGGCTGAAGAGCCCTGGATTGGTGGCCCACTCTCTCAGTGCCTTCTGCAGGCGTCGGACATGGAGAGGCTTGGTGGCCATGCCCACAAGCGCCATGATCTCCAGGAACTCCTCCTCACCCGCTTCGCACAGTTGTTGCACGTCGTCCCCTCCCTGCTGGATGAAGGTCTCATAGTAGGAAAGGAGATTGGCGCGCTGCAGGACCCGGTACAGCTGCAGCTCCCCTAGTGTCCGAGGCAGTGCCATGGCTCGGGCACTAGGCCTGAGAAAGAGGCACACAAGAGAAAGAGGGGGACGGTCAGTGCAAGTGCCCCTGCTTGGTACCAACCCACACTCACAATTGTCCTCTCACTCCTGCCTGCTTCTCTTCCTCTCTCACTTTTGAATGCTCTCCCTGACCAGTGCCCAGGCCTGGTAGTGGTACAGACATGCCAGTGCTATCCTAGACGAGCCAGAAGTGCCAAAGCCAGCTCAGTCTGCAGAAGTCAAAGGCTCTTAGTCCCCATGCTCAGCTTTTGCCTTTCTGGTCTGGGACACGGAGACCTTGCGCGCTGAGGCTAGCTAGCACATCCTGGGATGCCTAGACATACCTCTCTTCCAGAACACGGTCCTTACCTTCCACCCTAAGCACCAGCAGTCTCACCATTACTCAAGGAGACATCCTGCACTGAGGTGAACAGAGGATGGCCCCTTCCTGCCAGTAGTGGACACCTGGGACCACTGCTGGCCGGCTTCACTCCCTGGTGGCATCCTGCCTTATGGCTGAGAGGGAGAGGTGTGGCCCTCCCATGTCCTTTCCCACTCCGTGAGCCAGGTGGACCCGCTCTGCTACCTGAACCTTCCCTACCATTTGGGCATTCTTAGCACACGCTTGCTCTCTGCCCTCAGGGCGGTCGCTGTCCTCCAGCCTGCCCAGCACCCCCAGGCGACCCCTCTCCCAGCAGTGACCTTCCACACCTGCTCAGTAGGTAGGCCTATCCCTTCAACTCAGTCGCAGGGAGGAGAGGAACGCCTCAATTGTTCTGCTCTGGGCCTGTTCCGCCCACACACACTCCCACAGTGGTAGCGTCTGTGGGCGAAAATTGCCTAGGGGCTCCCGCCTACCCTCTCCCTCATTTTCCACCCACATCTCCAGTGGAGAGGGGGAGCGGCTCAAGGCCTCTTGAGAGAGAGGGCTGCAGGATGGAAACTCCTCTCCCCACAGGGTAATTACAGGTACAGAAACGGGGGGCCCTAAGGCATACCCTGCTTCTCCACAGCCTAGCTGCTGGTCTCTCGACTTCTCCCGACCCCGGCTCCTCCCGCCCCGTGCCAAGAACAGACTGAGCCAGCGGAGCGACCCCCCACCCCCGCCGCATTGTTGCCAGCTAGAGCTCCAGGGCTTCCTCCGGCGCTTGGGGGCCCCCCACGTTCTTTGCAGGGGGCTCACAAGCCAGGTCATGCCCACAAAGTAGACGGTGGGATGGAGAGTTTGAATATATTCTTTCATATCCACATTCATCAGATCCCAGGGCCCCCCTAATTCCATCAGTCTCCACCCCCCAGCCCTTATCTCGCTTCCCCTCGACCCCCCCGCCCCGCCGATCTCCGCCCTCCAGACCCCTCTCCCGAGTCCAGCTCCACCCATCCCCACTCCCCGCCGCTTCCCTTTGCCCACTAACTTGAGTCTGGGCTGCGGGGTCCGGCGGGCGCTGTCCCCTCCGCCCGGCGGCTGCTCGGCAGTGGGCGAGGGCGCTCTGTGCATGGACGGCCGGAGACCACCAAGGGCTGCCCCTCTCGGTGTCCGGCGCCCGGCGCCCGATGCGCGCTGCGATCTTCCCGGCGTGGGAGGCCGTGTCCGCCGCTGTCCGGGCTGTGTCCCTCCCTCCACGTCTCCTCTCCGAGCCTCCGCGACTCTGTCTGTGCCTCTGCCCCCCACCCCCCTCCCCGGCTGCGCTCGCCGCCTCTCCGCGCCTCCGCCCCCGCAGGACGCACGGGGAGCGAGGCCCGGCGCGGCGCTGGCTGCCGGGCGGGCGGAGGGCGTGGGTAGAGCCGGGGGCGGAGGCCGGGGGCGGGGGGCGGGCGCCCGGGCTTCGGGCCCGCGGTGGAGAGACGGAGAGAGGCGGAGACTTGGGGGGAGGGGACGGGACGGGGTGTGGAGCTGGAGGCGGGGGCGTAGACTCAAAGCCGGGGCGCCAAAGTGGGGACTGGGGTGACCGAGGCCAGGCCGGGGAAGGCGGGCTTGGGGACCCAGAGGGCGGGGCGAGGTCGCTCCAGGCCGCCCACGCCGGATGCACCGCCAGCCCTCTCCGCGCCCACGCACCCACGTGAGCGCCCAGCCGGCGACATTCCTCCTTCCCCGCCACCCCTGCCCCTCCGCGCGGGGAGCGGAGTTTCACGGCCACGCACAGGTCCACGAAGACACTGAGCGGCGCCCCGTGCGCCTGAGCAGCGCCGCGCAGCCCGTTGCCCACGCGGGCCTCGTGGTGGGGGACGTGCGGGTGTGAGGAGCGAGCCGGCAAAGTTGGCGGCTTCTCAGCGCGCCCTCCTGGGTGCGCCTCTGGCCCGCGCAGAGGGCGCGCTGTGGCTGGGCTGGGAGCGCGGGGTCTGCAGGAACCCCGTCGGCACCACAGCGCTCTCCTCCGACCCCCAGAGGAGTCCTTTGAAGCGGCCGCTGGGAAACTCAGGCCCCCACCATCCCAGCCTCCAGTCCGCGCTGAAGTTTGGGGAACAGGAATGGGCGGGTTATGGCAGCAGCTACCACTTAGACGCGTTAGTTAGACGCGTTGGGTTTTGTCTGCGCGCAGGTCAGGCAGGGATGGGAGGGGTACCCCGCCTTTCCCCACCCGTCGCACCCTATGTGCTGAGGACGGGAACCTGCTCCTGGGGAGTTCTGTGTGGCAGAGCCGGGATATGGAGGACACCCCTTCTGGGATACGGGGACGGCTGTCAGGGGACTTTCTCCGCGAGGCTAGTGGAAGATGGACAGGAGGCCAGGAGAGCACCACGTGGCTCGCGACGAGGAGCCGAACCCCCCTTCACAGCCCACCACCCCTCCCCCACTTTATTTCTCCTGGTCCCATCTGGTTCCCATTACACTCCCGCCCACGGCTGGGGAGGGGGGGGCAGATGGACAGGCGGGGACTCTGAGCGCCTGGCCCTGCGGCTCTAGGCCCGAGGAAATGAAGGGAGGGGAGCAGAAGGGAGGGGGGGGGAGCGGGATGCAAATGGACTAGCCAGAGGCAAAGTTCCCCCAAGTCCGAAACCTCAGCCCCGCCCCACCATTCCGCACTTCTGAGTGGCCCGGCGGGGCGTGGGCGGCGAGGGCGGCAGGCTGGTTCTACTTTCGGGCCTGGCCAGGGAACCTTTGTCTCCGCTGGGGACGAGAGAGGAGGGTGCATCGGTGGGATGGGGAGCGTTTCAGTAGCTAAGATTCTTTTCCCCATCCCAGGAAGCCCCAAACACAGTGGGTGGGGGGTGACGGGGCCGAGCTGAGTCCCGTCCCCCATCCCCTATCCCGCGACTGGAGGGGCACACCCCACCCCAACCCCTCTGGTGTGTGGGTGCCCCCTCCCCCACTCCTCTTCGGTTATTTTGGAGCCTGGGCTGCCAGCCACTGGCCGCGGGTTCCACGTGCCTCCTCCCTCCCTCTGCCCACGCTCCCCGTGACGCACATCCTCCGCCCACGCAGCCTCTGCTGGAGGCGCCCCCTCCCACCTGCCCTCTTGGGGTGGCGCTGAGCCCCCGGATCCGGAGGGAGACGCAGGACCCGGGAAGAGGGCGGAGTAGGGCGAGAAGCAAGGGGCAGTGACCAACGGGGCGCCGGGCGCCTGGGTCCCGGCCCAGGAGAGGAGAGGAGGGGCCGGTTCCGCTCGCCGGTCCTGGGGCGGGAACGCGGCCGCGGAGGAAGGAGGAGAGAAAAACCCCGCGGAGCAGGACAGCCCCTGCCTTAGGGGGATGTGCAGGGCGCGAACCTGTGTGAGAGCGACACTCTTGAGTCACGTATCTTTGTTTCTCAGGGTTGTCTTGAGGATCAAATGAGAAGATGTATATAAAAACTTTGTCAATTGTAAAATCCTAAGCAAATTTAAGATGCTTTTGCCAGTGTGTGTCTCTGTACCTGAGGTTGTGTATTTATGTGTTTCTTTACATCTACTTGTCTCTCTCTCTCTCTCTCTCTCTCTCTCTCTCTCTCTCTCTCTCTCTCTCTCTGTGTGTGTGTGTGTGTGTGTGTGTGAGCCCCT